ATTTAGTAAGGATTGACTAGAAATCACCTTATTTCATCATTCGATCAAGTACTAACTAAATATCATTTTATTTCATCGATCGAGCAGGACTACCTAGAGATTATTTTATTTCATCGTTTATTTAGGAATGATTAACGATCATTTCATTTCATCTTTCGGGAAGAAGCTGCCTACCAATTATTTTACTTCATCATTCGGTTAGTATTGACTAGCAATCATTTCTTTTCATTATTCGAGCAAGGTTACCTAGAGATCATTTTGTCTCTTCATTAACGATCAATTTACTTCGAGACAAGGTCACCTAACAATAAACTAATACTCTTTTTATTTCCTTCTTTACAAGTTTACTATGAAATGTGAATGAAAAATCACTTTTCTATTGAATTTACGTTATAAGTATTGTAAAAAATGGACATCTACCATAATCCATTTTTAACCCATCATAAATTTTATCTTATACCAAAATTTATAAAATTCAAAAAAGTTACATGTTCCATTATTTTTTAGATTTTTTTATAATTTTTAAGACTTAAACTCTTTAGGATTACCTCAAAATTTAAAAAAAGAAAAAAGAAAAAATTGAAAGAAAGAAAGAAAGAAAGGAATCCAATTTGGTTTAATGAAAATGACCTAATTGAAGACTAATTTAGAAGTTATTAGGATTAATTTATAGAAATTAGAGCAAAAAAAAAAAAAAAACAAGAAGACCAAAATATCTTACACTACGGGACTTAATTGTGAAAGAAATTAAAGAGTAATGGGAGTAAAATAAAAGAAAAGCACAAATAGAGGGATCATTTTCAACCAACCAAAATATTTGGAAAAAAAAAACCACACCTCCTTTTCCTCCCCTAGCCTTGTTGGCATCCTTATCCACACCCATATCTCATGCATTAACGTTATCTCTCTAACCTAAAACAAAAAATACTAGACATCAAAATTTATCCCTTGCATTCCTTGATTCCCTCCATTCCTAACCTTGCAAGGACAACACACAAAAGAGCATGCAAAGAAGAGAAAAGAAGGGGATAAGATGGAGGTGTCCTATGCTCATAAAAAAGGAAGAGATAAGATTAAGAGAGGAAGATATAAGGTGGATAACAAAGTTAGGATAAGATGAAAACCAAGAGTAAGGAAAAAGGAAAAAAGAGAGTAGTATTTTTAAGGGGTGGCTTAGTTTGTTTAGAGCGAAAAGAGTGAGAACAAGAGAGAAGAGAAACAAAGGTAGAAAATAAAGAAGAGCTTAAAGAGGAAAAAAAAAGGAAGAAAAAATGAAAAGTAAAGGAGAAAATACCATCCAAGCATGTCGACAAGTTTGGAAACAAGTTAACCTATCAACTCCAAGCTTTTAAACTACTTTTGAAATCTAAAAGTCAATTCTCTACTCTTTTTACTTCATCCCTTATTGATATTAGTACGCAAAAATGCATTTTAATGTCCCTTGATTTTAACAGATTTCATAGTCAACCTAAACCCTAATAAATATGAATGCTAGTTGTGTTTTGTGTGTTTAGCACACCTTTGGGTGTTTTTGCTTGTTGGATTTTTTTTATGAACATCATTTACTTGTCTTAAATTATTATCTGAAATTTCATATTTTTAAGGATGGGTTCTCGGTTAAATCATTTTCTTGGTTATTGTAGGCTTAGTCATTAAAGTCAAAAATACCTACCATCATGTTTTGAATGTTTGACAAGTCTTATGCATTTTTATTTTCTAAATTTTTTATATGAAAACCATCTACTTGTCTCCAATTTATTTGTGAAATTTTAGATCTTTATGATACGTTATGGTTTTTTATTCAAGTTTCCATTTTGGCCATTGCAATATTGATTTGTTAAACCAAAACCAGCTATTATTTTGTGTTACATGTTTGGCATAGCCTTAGAAATTTTTACTTCTTGATTTTTTTAGTTAACATTATCTATTTTTTTAATATATTTATGAAATTTCAGATATTTAGGACTTAGAATGGGTTCTCATTTAAATCACCTTGTTGGTTATAGGCTGTAGTGATTTCTCAAGCCAAAAATAGTTTCTACTATGTTTTGTATGTTTGAAGTAGTCCTAGATATTTTTATATCATAATTCTTTATATGAATATCTTCTATTTGTCTCTAATCTTTGTATAAAATTTTTAAATTTTTATGAAATAGGATGGTTGTCCATTTAATTTATTTTGTTGGCTAGGATAGTAGTATTCTATTAAACTGAAATTGATTATTGTGGTATTTTACATGTTTGACATGTATTTTGATGTTTTTAGATTATGATTTTTTTTCATATGATCATCTACTACATGTGTTTGAGTTATTTGCAAAATTTCATAATTTTAAGATGTGTGTTGTCATTTTATTTAAATTTTTTTTTATTATTATTGTATTTATCATATAGGATATGAAATTGTTGCATTTCCTATATTCTAGGGAGCAATGATGATTTCATATAAGATTGGTTATAATTAATAAAAAGCTTCTTATTTTATGTTCATTAGGAAAATTAATCAAGCTAACAGTGTCTGCTATTTAATATAGATGAATGTTGGTCTCAACACCTTAATAAAAAAAATTTGAAAAAAAAAAACAAAAAAGAGAACTAATTAGGATAGATATGGACCATTGTTCTTCACCACCCCACTTTACTTGACCTTATCTAATTAGGTTGTTCCTCGATATGTCAATTATATCGGGACGTAATTGGATCTAATGCTAAATTAAAAAAATTATCAATTATAGGAATCGATGTTAATTTAATATGATTTTATGATAAAAAAACAAAAAAAAAATGATCCCATTCATTGGATTTAGACAAATTAGTTTGAAAATAAACTTAGGAGATAGTTTAGAAAACATAACTTTTAGGAGATACTCTTAGAATTAGACTAAACCAAGTAACTTTTCTTAGAAAAGGTATCTTTAGATTGTTATCTTTCTAAAAGTATAACTAACTCTCAAAATCTTTGAATCTAGTGTTTTCCTTGGGTTAGCTACTTTCCTACAATACTAGGTGACGATTCGAAAATGTTCTTAATTACTTTTCCTTAGTCAACAAATTTTGAAAGTCTCATATGTTGAGTAGCGACACACGGGATAACAAGCCCGAGCTTCAAAACCATGGAGAGTGAATGTTTCAAGCTTGGAATAAAATATACATGCTTATTTATCTTTATTTATTGTTTGAATTGAATTATTTTATCCTTATTGGATATAGATTCCTATTTGTATATTGGGTTTTTATTTTTGTCCTTTTTAAGATTAGGTTGGATTTTTATGTTAATTAAGTCTAGTTAGATTAGGAGTTTATTTTAGTCCTAGTTTATTTAGATTGGGTTTAAGTTAACAAGTCCAATAGAACTAGGGCTTTTAATAGTATTTAAACTTCTATTTTGTAACTTTTGAGATAGTTTTTGATTGAGTTTTTATTTTTTATTTTTAACTACGGAGAGACTTTCTCTTCCAAATTATGTTCTTAATTTTATAGAACATGTCTTTATCCTTGGTAGTGCTTACCTAAGGGGCGACTTGATGTTTATGTTCAAAAAGTTAAGGTGTTAAAGAAATATGGATAAATTAGTTTAACTTGATTGACATTTATGATAAAAATTATTTTATTATCATTAATGATTTAGACCTAATTTTTTGTTGTATAACAAAAAGACCATCAATTTTGATTTACTATAAGTTGGCTTGAATATGATTTTAAAATGCAATCTGCAAGCTTAAATGTTGTACTCTACTCATTAGGTCGGAAAAACCATAATCGATTTATCCTAAAACTCATTATTTTCTAAAGATTTTCAATAATTAGACTATAAGGCTATAAGATCACCGAACTTCAAGCATAAATTTATGGGTTTAAAACACCCCGTGCCCATGTACTTTAACAAAGTCACAAGCCTTGTACGCGAGATATAGTCCATAACATACCTTATTCTATTGGAAGTTTGTGTAAAATAATCATAAATTTTTTCATCTTCTTGGTCATTGAGCCTTCTTCGTCTATCTCTTCGTCTTCTCTATGAAGTTGGTCTTTTGATCTTCCTAATCATCATTGTGTTTTTCATCTTTTTTTTTTGTCTTTTTTGTGTTCTTCGTCTATCTCTTTGTCTTCCATTGTCTTTCCTTCTCTCTTCGTCTATCTTTCTTCCATCGTCTTTTATAAATATTTGACTTTGACTTTCTATTAGTCTTCATTTTTATTGAAATAAGAGTTTATTTGTTATAGTATATCATTCCCTAAAAACATTAAAGGGTTTAATTATCTTATTTGACTTTTTGTCAATCTTTGTTTCCTTGTTTATCCGGTCTCTCGAAAATTGTCTTATACACTTTGATATAAGCATTATCCGAGGGATTTTATCCAAATGTGAACCTAGAAACATGGTAGAACATTAACTTTTTTATGGAATTTATCATTAAGGTAACCAAGCCATACTTTTTTTTTAGTATATGTTTCCTTTTTTAATGACAAATGGTCCATTCATACTAATAATATTATTTTTCTTTGTATAAGGTATGCTTAAAGATGTCAAGCATTTTAACTTTTTATATTAGAGGGAAGTTCAATAAGGCCGGTAGTTTATAATATATTGGGGGTGACGTAGTAGAAAAGGTAATTGACCAAAACAAACTATGTTTCGAGAGCTTGTTAGGATCTGTGTGTAGACATAAGATATTCTAATATTGGTAAACTATATTATATGGTGGTAAAAAGTGGTTCCATAATAGGGTCGGACTTGAGGATAATTAGTGAGTCGGATGATTCTTGTATTATAAAGATTATAAGTTACTTATTTAGGGGTAAATATGTTCAAATTTATGTCGAACATAGTGAAAGAGACCACCCATTCTTTTTATTAGAAGCCAAGTGTTGTTTATGCTAGGTTGGTTATTAATAATAAAGGTTAGAGGGCTGGTCCATACGATCTAGGAGATAGTAATTATAATACTAGGACTAGGGTTATTGTTACTCTAGAATAGAATGCTAGTGATAGTAAAGTTATGGGTGGTTTAGGTGACGAAAATATGAGTGATGGATTAGGTGATATAGGAAGCAATATGGCCAATGCTGGTGATATAGAGGTTAATATAGGCAATAGTAGTCCTGTCGAGGGCAATTTGGCTAGTGGTGGTTATACGGAGGTCAATATGTGCAATAGTGGTCCTACCAAGGGTAATGTGGTCGATGGTGGTGATATAAAGGTCAATATAGGTAGTGGTGATCTTGTTAAAGGTAATGTGGTCGGTAGTGGTGATACAAAGGTTAATATGGGTATTGGTTATCCTACTAAGGGCAATGTGACCGGTGGTGGTGATATAGAGGTCAACATGGGCAGTGATGCTCCTATTAAGGGCAATATAGCTAATGATGGTAATGTAGATGTCAATATGGGAAGTCGTGGTCCTGTTTAGGGCAATGTGGCCGATGGTGGTACTTATGAGGGTAATATAGGTATTAGTGGTGCTTATGAAGGCAATATGGGTAGTGGTGGTGCAACTAAAGGCAATATGGCCGGTAGTGGTAATGTTAAGGCTAATGTGAGTAATGGTAACTATGGTGTAGACAATCTAAGTTGTGATGATGAAAACATAAGGATAAATGAAAAAGATATTAAGGAGGCAGAGTATTAGGTTGATCTTGATTATTTAAGTGATGATAATGATAAAGAGTATAGAGAAATAAAGAAAAAAGCAATTGAGTTTTTACAAGGAATGGTGGTCGGTAAAAAAGAGTGTACGGGGTTAGGCTAGGGTGGTGATATAGGAGGGAATGCATCTATTACCGATTCAAAGGTGAGTGAAGAGAATGGTGAACATGGACAAAAAAAATGATAATGAGTGCAATACTATTCATTTAGAAAGAAAAAAGCTAAAATGATGAGAAAAGATAAATAGAAGATGAAAAAAAGAGCAAACAAAAGAAAAAAGTGCAAAGATGTGGTTGATAATGATGATGGTGATGATGATATGATGATGATGGCTATTATGAATATGTTGTCAATATAGAAGGCAAGGAGACAAACTACAAATCGATTATAATTTCGATTACATCGGTGTCAAAGACGAGAGTGATGTAGACATTGGTAGGAGAGTAAAATTAAAAAAATTATTTTAATCCTAATGATGAGAAATCCTTCTTTTAGTTGGGAATGATTTTTCCAAATAATAGGACATTTAGAGATGTAATTATAAAGCATGGTATAACAGATTATAGAAACCTAAAATTTAAGAAGAGTGATCTAGATAGATGTAGGGTTACATGTAACGATGATAATTATAAATAGGTGATTTTATGTTTTTTCAATTTGAATGATGAAAATTAGGTTGTGAAAACTTATAGTGGGATTCGTGTCACAATAATACATACTTCGAATTGGTAGATGGAACATTAAAAGGGTTGCACTCGTGGTGTCAGTCTTTCTAAATGTAAGAATAGTTTGAGGTTGTAGAAAATTATGTTATTTGGTAAAGTCGATGATGAATTTCAAAGATTGGAGGAGTTCGCTACAAAAATTAGATAAACTAATAAAGGTAGTGTTGTTGTAAATCAAATAGATGATGATAGATATTTCAACAGAATATATATTGGTTTTGATGCATTGATTAGGGGATTTAAGCATGGATGTAAAAAAATAATTGAGTTTGATGGTTGTTTTCTAAAAGGTATTCTTAAAGGAGAGAATTTTATATGTTGTTGGTTGGGATGCTAATAACCAATGTTTTTTATTACTTGGGCTATTATGAGAAGTAAGAGTACGAACATGTAGAAGTTCTTTATCCTTCAATTGATGGTTGATTTGAGAATTAGCATGGGAATTAGAAAAGGATATACCTTCATTCCCGATGGTCACAAGGTATTAATATTTTTTTTATTTACAAATAATCATGTTTATTTATTGTTTTGATTTTTTTTTAATACTTTGATTTGAATTTTCATTTATTAGGGTTTGATTGGAGTAATTCATTAGCTAATGCCATCTGCTAAACATAGAAGGTGTGCAAGGCATATCTTTTCCAAGTGGAGAAAAACCAAAAAGGTACTACTCTACATAAGTAGTTATAGGTAACATGTAGAGCAAGCACATTAATAGACTTTAAAGAGTAGTTGAAGAAACTTGGTGGCACTATAAAAGAAGAATTTATGAAAATAGAACCAACTTTTTGGTGTAGAGCTTTTATCAAAATGCATTGCAAGTATGACATAGTTGTTAATGGTGAGAAATATTGAGAAGAGGAATAAGTATGCAAAGAAGTTTAAAAAGAGGATTGGTTCGAGAACAAGAGAGAAGATCAAAGATGCACGAGATGAATTCTAAAGATACAAGATAATACACAACAACTCGAATGGATATAAAGTGAATGATTCGAGAGAACACTTATGTTGTTAACTTGGAAAAACATCATTACACTTGTAGAAAATGGAACATAACTGGGATACCATGTGGCCATGTAATGGCTATTTTCGAAGTCATGAAACTGAATGAGATTGATTATGTGGCCGAATTTTATAAGTTATAAAAATTTAAGAAGAGTTATAAGCATTCCATTTAGTTGATGCAAAGTAAGAAATTTTAGCTTAAAAGTAGAAAAGAGATTGTTTTTGCACTAATTATTGAAACTAAAAGAAGCAAACCAAAGAAACTTAGGATTAGAGAACATTAAGAGCCTTCTTCTAAAACAAATCTATCTAGGAAAGAAAGAGCTATAAGATGCATATAATGCCATAGAAAAAGACACAAAAAAAGGTAAAAATATTTTCTAAATTATTAATACTTCAATTATATCTATATTGTACTAAGTTTGATTATGTCTTGTTCATGTAGAAAAATAAAACAATGATTGTAGGTTAGTTGAAGCTATTCCAGTGCTCATGATATTAATGTGGTTTATGATGATGTTCAGAATATAGTTAGTTGTAGAGATGTGGACATGATGATGTTGTCTATAGTGGTGTTGCTACCAATGTGACCGGTAGACTTGATGTTGTTAATACTCGCTGCTAGAGATTTTTGCAAGCAAGGTAATGGAGATGATGATGTTATTAATACTGCTACTAAAGATTTGAATAGATAGGGCAATAGACATAATGATGTTGTCCATATAGCTGTTGTTGAAAATATAGGCGGTATACTAATGTTTTTGATATTACTACTTGGAGATATGGGTCAATCAACACTTTTTCATACTTGTTGGTGCGAAGTTACATCAATTACCAAAAACAAAAAAAGGAAAAAGAGGACATAATGCTATTATTGTTATTATCGAATTACCCATAAGAGTTACATAGAGAAATACAATAACATAATTTGAAGTATCTAGAAGAGTAACTAGGAGATCTATCGGTTAAAAACCATTCATATTGCATTTATTTATTTATTTTACATAAGGTTAGATAATATGAATTGCCTCTATTGGAAGTTAGACATCTTTTGTACTTGAAACATCTTTATGAAGAAAGATCTATGAGATTTCAATACATTGCTTTTGTGAAATTAATCTGGTTGCTTTAACATTTTGTTAAATTTATTATAACCAAATCAGCAAACAGGAACTTCATAAACAAACCAAATAATAGATTGTAACTTAAAATTTAACAAATTAACAAAATACTTTTGATTATAATTAATAAGCATTACATCAACCCTTAATTATAATTTAGAACCATGACATCAATCCTTCACTTCATGAAAAATAAACCATATAAAAAATAATACACAAAAAGTTATTCCTATGTTTAGGAATTTCTAACTTCTAAAAACCTTTAAGTCTGAAATTTTTTACTCTAACTCTTCAATTTTGTTAACCAATTCTTCCTTTTCTTTCTTATAGCACAAATTAATAAAATTATGTTCAACAAACAATAACTCATACTCTTCTTCTTTTTTCTTCAATTCATCTTTCAATCTTTGATTGGTAACATTTAGTTTTCTTTCACATATATTTAACCCATTAATGACATCTCTAGCTCTCTCTCTATTTCTCTAATTTTAGGATCAATAAGCTCATGAAAACCATATTGATTTTTTTTTCTTTTAGACAAACATGAAATTACAAACATGGATTGTCATCTATCCATAATGTCCATCTTGGTGTCTTCAAACCACAATAGCACCTTATTTACGGATACCCATAATCCTATATGAGTTTTTGATGAATAAAAGAGCATAATTTCTTATATCTTGCTCTGCTTAATGTCTGTTGAGGAAGAAGAAGAAGATAAGAAAAAAGAGTTAAATGATAGGGAAGAAGAAAAACCTAACATAAATGATGAATTGTAACGAGTAGATAAATTAGTGAAGATTTATTGCTTAATTGTAACAAGAGAAGAAGGAAATTTAAGGTTAATTGATTTAGAGATTTAGGTTTGCTCAAGAAATTTAGAAAGAAAGATAAATGGAGGGAGAAAGATAATGAAAGACAAAGAGACAAACAAAGAACATAGAGAAGATGAAAAACATAGTGATGATTAGAAAGATCGAAAGACCAACTTCTTAGAGAAGACGAAGAGACACAAAGAGATAGACAAAAAACACTCAATGATGAAGAAGATGAAAAAATTAGTTATCCTTAGGATAATTGTTTAGTTTTTGTTAATTCCTTTTCCATCTAGGTTCAATTAATTAGAGAAAGCAAACCACATTTAGGACTAAGGTTTTTTATCTTTTTTTTTTCAATTTAAATCCTGTTAAAATTATTTATATGATTTTAGCTACTAACCAAGTCAAAAAAAAAATGACAAAAAAATTACATTTTCACACATTTAAGACTAAGTGTTGACATTGTATTGGTCATTCGTTGGTCAACTAATGAAAGTTAGTCAAAATAATGGAAAACGATAATGATGAGGTTATTTTACACCAACTTCTAATAGTATAAGGTCCGTTATGGACTATATCTAGGCAAATGGGTTGTGATGATAATTTCGTTAAAGAACTTGGACACGATGTGTATTAAAACCATAAATTTATATATTCTCATTTATTCTTATGGAAGCATGATCTAAATGTATTTATTGTAGTTTATTTATAATTAGATTATGATAAAAAGAAATAAAAATAAAATATTTGAATGGAAATGAATTATATCGATTATGAACATTAAATAGGTACATATCCTATAGATCTTATTTTTTCAACAAGTAGGTCCGGATTCAATTTATTTCTAAATTAAAATTGAAATTGAATTGTTGTATCTTGATAGTTTTGATAATTCTAATTTTTCATAAGATCATAATTTTGCTCTTTTAATAGTTGACTTTTGAAGGGTGTGACAACTCTAGAAATAATGATTAAATATTTTTTATTAGCTTGAAATTTTGACTATCATTTTTCTTAGGTTTAATTTGAACCTAGTTAAAATTTGGTGAAATTTTGACAACTCTAGACTAGGTTTTGGCTCAATCCTACTTCATAGGGTTTTTGAGTTTTGTGTGTTGTTGTGTTTGCTTTTAGTTTGTGTAGAGTTATAGGTTGAATTGATTTTCTTGGTCATTTTCCAAATTGCTTGTGGATTATAATCTGATTGTGTGGATCTTGAGTTAGTGTTGTGTAATTGGAATTTAAGTTCAGCCAATTGTTGTTTGTTCCGAACTTGCTTGTGGAGTTTCATCTTAATTTGTGTTTTCTACTTGT